CGATCTCCTGACCTCATGATCCGCTCGCCTCGACCTCCCAAAGTGCTGTGACTACAGGCGTGAGCCACCACGCTCAGCCTCTACAAAAATGTTTTAAAAGTAGTAGGGTGTGGTAGGACAGTGCTTATAGTCCAAGCTACTCAGGGGGATGAGGTGGGAGGATTGCTTGAGCCTGGGAGATTAAGGCTACAGCAAGCTGTCATCATGCCAGTGCCCTCCAGTCTGGGCAAGAAAGTGAGATCCTGACTTCAAAAAAATAATTAAAACAAAATAAAAAATGTGGGGCCGGGCGCGTTGGCTCAAGCCTGTAATCCCAGCACTTTGGGAGGCCGAGACGGGCAGATCACGAGGTCAGGAGATCGCGACCATCCTGGCTAACACGGTGAAACCCCATCTCTACTAAAAATACAAAAAACTAGCCGGGCGAGGTGGCGGGCGCCTGTAGTCCCAGCTACTCGGGAGGCTGAGGCAGGAGAATGGCGTAGACCCGGGAGGCGGAGCTTGGGCCTGGGCGACAGAGCGAGACTCCGTCTCAAAAAATAAAAATAAATAAAAAATAAGTAAATAAATAAAAAATAAAAAACCTGGTGTGTTTTAGTACTGCCAGTGTTACTCTATACTCAGACTTAAAATCTCCTGTGCATAAGAACTGCAGGCCTCTAAATATTTTTCCCCTGGATTGCGGATCAAGGTTGGAAAAGATCACCCTCCAAAAAATAAACCCAATGAAAAAGAATATAAAACTGCATACAGTTAGCTACCTATGAAGTAGCTTGTCCTAAAAATTGGTTTATAAATATGCTGCTACTGAGATCACAGTGGCCCAATTATCATCAAGAATCTACTGATCTAAGCCAGGTGTAGTGGCTGATGCCTATAATCCCAGCATGTCGGAAGGCCAAGGCAGGAGGATCACTTGAGCCTGGGAGGTCCAGGCTGTAATGAGCTGAGATCATGCCACTGCACTTCAGCCTGGGTGACAGAGTAAGACCCTTCTCAAAAAAAAAAAAAAAAAAAAAAGAGCCGGCGGTTGGTTCACGCCTGGTAATCCGCCGAGCACTTTTAGGAGGCGGAGCAGGTGTCACGGAGTCAGGACTATGAGAACCATTTCCTGGCTAAGCATGGTGAA